TCAACCTTACAGTCGCGCAATGTATTCCGCACGCCCCCCAATATATTCGGGCTGGTGCGTCAATACTTCTCATCCACACCGCCATCCCACGATCCGGAGGAGTATGTCACTATGACAGACCTCTCTTTTATTCCTGTCAGCCGTCCAGCCACTGAAGTACCAAACCCACCTGCCGCTTCGAGCATCGATACTCAGTACCATCCCTATCCAAACCGATCTTCGTTCAAACTCGGTGACTGGTACTGGAACCAGGGGCTGCAAAAGTCTCAAGGGGACTTCGTGAAATTAGTAGATATCTTGGGCGACAGTACCTTCAGCTGTGCTGACGTGAGCTCCACGCCCTGGAAGAACATCGACTCCCAACTGGGCATCAACGAGTATGACGAGGAAGAGGCAGTAGAATGGGAAGACGAAGATGCCGGTTGGAAAAGAACACCGGTATCCATTAACGTGCCCTTCGCTCGCACCACCGACACACCAGGGCCTCGGGTCTACCAAGCCGCTGATTTATACCATCGTTCACTTGTGTCTGTCATACGGGAGAAAATTGCCAGCACTCGAGATAGTAAGCTTTTCCATTACGAGCCGTACGAGCTACGTTGGCATCCTCCCCACCTCGACACTGAAGTCCCCATATACGGAGACCTCTACACGAGCCCGGCTTTTCATGAAGCCCACAGCAAACTCCAAGAATTGCCCAAGGAACCTGGCTGCGATTTACCCCGAGTCGTTGCAGGTCTGATGTTCTGGTCTGACGCCACGCAACTGACTTCGTTTGGCAACGCCAAGCTCTGGCCTACTTACATGTACTTTGGCAACGAGTCCAAGTACCGCCGCTGCAAGCCATCATGCAACTTAAGCAACCACGTCGCATACTTTGAAACGGTACGCTTTCTCAGAATTTTCAGTGCCAGTTGCCTAACCTTGCACTATCAGCTGCCCGACTCGTTCAAAGATTTCACAGGCAGCAAAGGCATGAACTCCGGCTGTGCGAGTCACTGCCACAGGGAATTATTTCACGAGCAATGGAGGATATTGCTGGACGACGAGTTCCTGGAGGCGTACGAACACGGCATCGTCATCCATTGCTCTGACGGCATCACACGAAGATTCTATCCTAGAATTTTTACATATTCTGCAGATTATCCTGAAAAGTACGTGAACTCGGGTCTTTCTCTTCATAATCAATTCTCATTACACTAGAGTACTTATAGCTACTGTTCGAAATCTTGGAGGCTGTCCATGCCCGCGCTGCCTTATACCTAAGGATCGCATACACAACATGGGGATGCCTCGCGATAGGCAACAACGCGAGACTCTAGTCCGTAACGATGAGAGAAGACAGACTCAGGTAAGCACTGCTCGGACATTGATCTACGAACAGAACTTGGCGGTCGGGAGCGCAGCTGTGGAGCGTATTCTCAAGTCAGAGTCTTGGGTTCCTACCTCGGTGAGGCTTGAGCATCCATCACCGACACTTACAAACCAGGTCATAGAATTCATTCCTAGATCGCCTCGGTCCACTGGGATTCAACATTTTCCAAGCGCTTGTAGTCGATCTCTTGCATGAGTTTGAGCTCGGCGTTTGGAAGATGCTTTTCATTCATTTGTTGCGAATAGTCGCAGCCCATGACAAAACTCTTATCCACGAGTTGGATCGGAGGTATGTGACATGATCGCGTCACCCATTCAGCTGACTTCCCCATCACAAGATATAGGCAAATTCCTACGTTCGGCTCAGCAACTATCCGGAAATTTTCAGCAAACTCTTCGGAAATGAAAAATATGGCGGCTCGAAACTTCGAAGACCTCCTCCAGGTAAGACATCTTCATTCAAGTCAAGATGGGATCTGACGCAATTCAAGTGCTCTATCCCTGTATTCGACGGTCTTCTCCCCGAACCGCACAATCGGGTTGTTTTGCAGCTGTTATTCACCATGTCCCATTGGCACGGATTGGCCAAGCTCCGGATGCATTCTGAGATTACCTTAGGAATCATGGACGAAGTGACTTCCGCAGTTGGCAAACAGTTTCGCGCATTCAAAGCTACAGTTTGTTCATCGTATCAGACACACGAACTTCGCCAGGAAGTCGAAGCTCGTACCCGCCGTGTTGCCAAGCAAGCAACCAAACAGGCGGGAACGCAGAAGGCCAAGGGACGTGCTCGCGTCTTAGAACAACAGGACTTGCTGGAGTCGCAAATATCACCCAATAATGTGCAGCGTATAAAAATATTCAACTTCCAAACTTATAAATTTCACGCTTTGGGTGACTATGTGTCTACAATTCGTCGGTATGGCACAACTGATTCGTACAGTACCGAACCGGTCCGTCCTATGATATTTTATTTCTGTGCTTGACTCATCAACTACTGTAGGGTGAACTTGAACACCGTTCCCCTAAGGGCAGATATCGTCGCACAGATCGCAGACTTTTTGTGAAACAGCTGACCCGGATCGAACGTCGACAGGCTCGAATCCGTCGTATTGGCGACAAAGTTGTTCATCGCCCTCACGTCGAAATCGCCGAATTAGCGCGAAGTCCATACATCCAGCACCACATTGGCGGTACGCAGAAGTACCCTGTGCATATAGGAACGTATCTGCGCACCCACGAAGGTGACCCGGCGATCAAGGTCGGTTTATTCATACTTGCGTATATGCGCCCTAATATGACTTTGTAGAATTTTGTTCCGAAGCTCAAGAATCATCTACTGCGTCGAATTCAGTCCAAAGATGTGCCATCTTTGGGAGACACCAACACAATTATCCTTAAAGACGATCGTATGTATCGCCACAACCTCGCCAGATTCAATTACACCACCTACGACGTTCGCAGAGCTCAAGACGTCCTCAACCCACGAACGTCCCACTGCAACATCATGGTTCTCAACACCCACAACAATACGGAGCACGGAGGTCATAGATTCATTTACGGAAAGGTACTGGGGATATACCATGTTAATGTAATTCACATCGGAGTCGGCATGATCGACTACACGCCACAACGAATGGAGTTTCTTTGGGTTCGCTGGTACGAGCCTGTGGTCCAGGTATCTACCTGGGAATCCTCGACCTTAGATCGAGTAAAATTTCTGCCCCTGAACGACGAACACTCATTCGACTTCGTTGACCCCGCGGACGTCCTAAGGGGCTGTCATATCATACCCTGCTTCGCGAAGCGCAAGAAACATCCCGATGGATCGGGGGTGTCAGCATGTGCGGGAGACAAAAATGATTGGCTTGAATACTACGTGAATCGGTGAGTGTGTTAGGTGAATGATGCATAAACAACTAATAACGAGCTTATGGATTCAGGTTCGTTGATCGCGACATGCTTATGCGCTTCCACTTCGGTCTGGGAGTTGGACATGTATATTCTCATTACCGCTCTACGCAGGTCGAAACGCGAGAAGGCGATGCCGTACGGGCTGGTATCATTGGGGATGGTCAGGACACAACAAACGTCGCTATCGATGAAGTTGAAGTTGCTGATGAAGTTGTCCATGAAAACTCAGATGAAGACCAAGACGCGTATGAAGATGAAGAAGATGGTACCAACGGTGGACTCACCCTCGAGCAGCGCTTTAGTTCTAGTGACGAGTCATTGTTATCTCAGTTTGGTCAGATGTATGGTAGCGACTTTGAATTAGATTACGAGAATTAGTGATCATGTGCAGGAACCTGTTGACCCACACATAATACCGGCTCAAGACCGCCAAGTGGCACTGGAATGGCGCAGTTATATAAAATCTAATATGAGATAACATGCACGTAATAACGTGAACGCCGCGTTGGCGGCCAGATTATCAAGGTATGTAAATACTTCTAAAGAGTTGTCGTTTTCCTCTAAGTTCAAACATCCATGTCTTTCATCTCAGACAACAACGAATTCCACGCAAATCTGAGTGCACCAGCTCAACATGTTGTCTGCTACATGTATTTGGAGATCCTGGGTTCAGTACTCCCGTATTATGTGTGTTTTTCTGCCTTGTCCTCGAGACCATGAACTAAATTTTTCTTCAGGGACCTCTCTCGGGCTCGTCTGATATAATGGCCTTCGTTGGGTACACCCCGATCGGGCTGCAGCCAACGCTGTATCCAGTATATGTCAGTACTTCCATTCGTTGAGTTTTATTCGGCCATCTTACTATGGCCTGCAGTGTCCGCTCTCATGTCTCGAAGCTGTAAGTCGTCTATCTTTGTGAGCACTACATACTGATCAGCTCTATAGATGAAGAATCGCGCCATACTGTCTGCGTATTTGCAGACCGGATTCACCCATATCTGTGCATTCGAAGCAAACCAAAGCACCGACGTCCCGATCTACACCTTTATGGTCAGTTGAATCTGAACCAAAACTTGCCACCACGCTAATTAACCTTGTAGGGCTCCCCTCCTTCCGCACTCATAGATCTGCTTCCCAGGTGGACCAGGCAGGGCCACGACACTCACACTCACATCGTTTACGATTGCTGCGTAAGTCCACCTTGCAAATCTGGTTCTATGTCTCTTGACAATATCATAGGCTCCATCCAATCGTCAGACCATCATTTTTTGGGCCGAACATCCATTGGGGTACAACACGCATACCTTGCAAGTTTCTGCATCACAAGATATGTCGGACACCTATTCTTCCGTTTCGCTCGACGATTCTTCGCTCCTGGAATCCTGGTTCATGTCCAATATCAACGCGATATCGGCCAATGATGCTAGTGCCAATGACGATGACTACGCTTACTCTACTTGGTCTGTGCCTCATGTCGAGGACGAAGCCCACGTCGAGGACGAAGCCCACGTCGAGGACGAAGCCCATGTCGACGACGAAGCGCATGACGTCGGCGACGAAGCGCATGACGTCGGTAACGAGTTGGACAATACCAACAACGTGCCTCCCAAACCCAAGGAAGTGATGGACACCAGCACCCTGCAGGGCATCATGCTAGTATATCCGAAGTGGCGGTCGGTCCTGACTTACCTGCGGCTTTTTATCAGAGTTGCAATTCTCAAGGGGGAGTCTGAGAATCCTCACCTCATCACCAGAGCTTCAGCCGCCAGGAAACAAGCGTTCATCGATGCCCTCTTTGCTGAAAGTCTCGTTCGGGCAAACACGACTGTCGAAGAGTTGGAAACCGGTCAGAAGCTTATTCATGCAATACACTTTGCCCATACTGATTACTTTCCAGTGGTTTCTACTAAGGACAACCAGATCATAGATAAGCGCGGGATCTTGAATATGGTCAGTATATTTGCTCCTTATTTCTGATACTAGTCTTACCTCGAATAGGCCATCCCGTGGATGTCCTACTTCATTTATGACACTAAGCGCGTATCGTGGGAGGCAATCGGTCACCCTCGGGCTGGCTTTGGGATCGCCAGCATTTTCGGTGTGGCACTCAAAGCTAGGCTTGAGTTTTTGTTAGACCACTTCTTACCACCGCATTCCGCTCTTCTTCCAATCGATGTGAGTCTTTTGAATTAACTTATTATGTAGATTCTCATTTGCTACACAGCAAAACGGATTGGCATGGTTCCTCCGTACGAAGCTGGCTAAGGCACTTGTCTGGCATGTCGTTTTTAGGGTCACCAGATCGACTGGCATCCGACTTGACTTAATCCCTGGTGTACCACTGATCGTGGCAGATCTTGAGCCTGATACGTTCAGAAATGGCCCCAGCCTACCTTGCCACACCCTCGCCTTCGTGAAGTCTTTCGTAAGTGTCTCTACTTTGCGTGGTTTTCATTTTTCAGAGTCTTATTGCATTAGTGTTACGGCGCGCTGGTCCGACTCCTGAATGAGGTCGTGGAACGGCTCCCCAATGCTACCCTCAACCGGGTTTATCCATCTCCCCGCGAAGTTCACAATCAAGCTATTCAGACAATCGGCATGCTATTGCAACAGTATAACGACCCAGGACTGGCTTCGTTCCAAAACCACATGCTCCATCTGTGTAACCTTGCGTGAGTTTACATCCTGAGAGATCATTTCTATGTTGCCAACTAATGGCAATATTTCATGCAGCGTGGATGATGTTGAAAGGGTTGTCCGCCAGTAAATTTGCCTTCCAATGATCTTGTCCGTGCCCGCTCTAACATGTACTACTTGTTTTTGCTGTTCGTGATATCGATTTTTCATGTATTTCCCCAATCTACGATGCGCCGTTTCAATTAGCTGAAACGTGTTTACAATGTGCTCATTTTCCGCCATTGTGCCTACAGCTTGGCGGATTACAAAGCTATGGCGGACGATGGCCATCAAACTTTAAAAAACTACAAGAATGGTAGGTTATCATTAAGCGATCGTGTGAATATCCTTTGAGCCTTTTGCTACCCACCATGTTGGTGATTAGGCCGATCCCAGCCTGTTATCCCTCGCTCGTTACGCTCTCCAGTGACCAATTATTTGCAATTGGACACGATGAAAATGTTCTGGCATCTTGGCTTCAACAATGTGGCCCCGAAATCGTCAGTGTGCCTACATTTTTATGTTCTTGTCTTATAATTTCACTTCTAGCTTTCCGATTCCCTCCTTGTGACGGCCGCTGTGCTGTTTGGATTGGTCGACTCGCATGATCTTACAGGTCTCCTTGATGTAATCCTTGAGGAGGTCAAGATGCAAATATCTCTCCAGCAAGAAGAAGAGGAGAACTGCTCGGTATTCCTTCAGCGAGGAGGGCGTTGCTTTATGGAGCAGAGGATGTACCGCGCTCAAATAGAAGTCTCACTGTTCAGTAAAGCTATTGCAAACCTATGCGAAGAGCTGAACGCTCGAAGTCAGCCAGGTGATCTATGTCGTTGAAGTAATTATCTATGACACTTAATTTATTACTAGTTTCGTGGCGTTTCGAGCCGAATTTGACGCTCCTCGCGGTGAATGCTGTAGGCTATGCATGCCCGCCTCCCAGCTCGCTCAATTTCAAGTGCTTCGGACCTGCAAAGGCCACGGAGAAGGCTGCGACTGACAAATGTCATGCTTGGCTTCTCGCGTCATCTAAATCTCAAGACACTCGGCAAATTGCCTCTAATGCCAGCGCACCCCTCCACTCTCCTTGTCTACAAGAATCTCTCCTAAAAGTGGGTGTGTATTATATTACAAGGGACCTAATTTTTCTGATGCTGAACAGCGTGATGACCAACTTTTCTCCCTGCCTCGTTCCATGAAATCCTGGGTTGATAATTCCACATATCGTACATACATGAGTGCATCCTCTGCAGAAACCAATGAACCCCTACGTATCGACAATAATCAAAGGTTCATCCGAAAGGAGTACAAATCGCCGGATGCACTCATGTCTATTCTCCACATTCTAGACTTGAAGACGCAGCGCGCACAGGCCGAAGCTGACATGTTCTTTGAGGCCATTGAACGCACTGCTGAGATCGAATCCACTGACGATGGTGGGCTTGCAGCTTTGTTTCAAGTTTATCACACTCAAATGACTATAGGTTTGTCTTCGGGTTCGGGAACAACCACGACACGCTTACCCGATGATTGGTTTGATGATTGGTTTTCGACCTCATCCGCACCTTCTAATGCTTCTGACTCCGACATTCTGTATCAGTCTCGATTGTAGTTTCCACTTAGCCTCCTAATTCGAAATTGGGCCGCCATAACTTTTATCATTGTTCCTGTGTTCCACGAAATTCGGATGTACGTTTGTGTTTGATCTATGTTATTTCTACTACTCTTGTTCTACTATATTTTTATTTGACAAGATATGAAATGCTAGTGTGCTTCGTTTCTGTGATAGGTTTGTCTATATGATATTGCCCCTTCAAAGCTCCAAGCTTCGAGGCTTTATGCTTCCTTCAGCAATGGGTCTATGGCCGATACTAATTCATGATTAGCGCCTCAACGTTAACATTCAGTCAACGTGTTCGCCATGCTTTGGTTGAGGGTATTCGGCTCATGCCAGAGGTGTTCTCATTTCTCTCACCTACTTCTGATACCCTCACTTCGCTTACAGTAATCGACTACTCGTCACGAGTGAAGACCATACACCAGATGCTCTTCCAGAAACCTGCGAGCCACCCGTTCATGAAAATTCGGTATGTAGTCTCAAGGGCTTACTCAATGTGGATGAGCGCCCATGAAATTCCCGCTGCCTCTGACGCTTTCTTCGTCCAGAGCCGACCCCGTTGTCGAATCAAGGAGACTATTCAGAAATCTGCAAAAGGCGTCACCAAGAAACTTTCTGTGAGTAGGCTGCCGGGTTCCCTTATTCTGAACATGGCTGATATTGTGCAGAAACCCTTCAAGTGTTTCCGCAATCGCACTCCTGCGAACCAGAACGCAAACCTTCGAGATGCTTTAACCACCGTGGTCCAGAACCCCGAAACGGAGGGGGCTTCATCAAGTCAGAAAAACGAGGTAAGCGCTCGAACTTGCTATCCTAGTCCATCGATTTTCTTACAGGTGCCTCTATCCTTCCAACAACAAGCATCTCACTGCAGCTCAGATTTCCAGCGACCCCGCGAACCAAGGGTTGCCTGGAGAGCCTGCTTCACAGGTATTTTCGTCGAATACTTTGACTTTCTTCTCTAATTTCGGCGGTCCCGCAGGTTCAGGCTACTCCTTCTGGCCAGGAGGAAGGTCCTGGTACTCAATCAGCTGGCGCTGTACTTCAGGGTGCCTGTGATAGTGTTGAGAGTACAGGGGAAACATGCGACTTCTGCGGCATCCGCCGCCGGCAATGCCTCAGCGGATCTCGCTGCCGCGGCTGATTTTGAGAAGACGTATCTCCAACCCCTAAAGATTATCGACGGTGTCCTTGACAAGATCGCGGATGTATGAGCTATTCTTGTCTGTTTAGGCATTCGTTGACCATCACATGATCTGCTGAAGTCCCGAGCTTCATCTTTTACTTTGTTGAACTTCGGCGTCCGGTGCTTGGCTTGCGTCAAAAGGTATCTCCGAGTTGAAGCAACATGAGATCGAAGCACACGTCAGCCTCAGGATCTCAAACAAGGAGTCAAGGGCTATGCGGCCAGTCACCTCGAAAGCAAACTATAGGCTTCGTGTACAATACTTTGTCGTAGGATATATGATCATATATAAAAGCTTATCCTTGCTAATTCTGATTGCGTCTGACAATACATTATCCAGCTCATGTCACAATCGTGGTTCTTGCAGCGACAAATAGCTACTTAAAAAATGTGTTACAACATGTCACCAGCTTGATTATCTACACCAGCCAATTACAGCGCAAGGCATTTCACTTGTCACCTTGATTTTCACTTATAGGATGTATATCAATATGCGATCTCTATAACATAGTCATATTTTTTTCGTACATATGTCGCACCGAGATAATGATATCCAATTCCAAATCTAGACGAGTGATATTTGTCAGCAATTACAGCGCGTGGAATTTCACTTGTCAGCTTGATTTCCGCTTATAGGATGGGTATCAAGATGCGATATCCTTAGCATATTATTATATTTTGTCACCCATATGTTGCACCAAGATAATGATATATAATTCTAAATCTAGACGAGTGATATTTGTCAGCAATTACAGCGCATGGAATTTCACTTGTCAGCTTGATTTCCACTCATAAGATGGGTATCAAGATGCGATATCCTTAGCATATTATTATATTTTGTCACCCATATGTTGCACCAAGATAATGATATATAATTCTAAATCTAGACGAGTTATATTTGTCAGCAATTACAGCGCATGGAATTTCATTTATCAGCTTGATTTCCACTTATAAGATGGGTATCAAGATGCGATATCCTTAGCATATTATTATATTTTGTCACCCATATGTTGCACCAAGATAATGATATATAATTCTAAATCTAGATGTGTCACAACGAGTTTTATTTGTCAGCACAATCTGGTCATATCAATTTCGGGTTGATTTCCTGATGAAGTCAGCACATCCTGATAACTGCAACACACAAGCTACATACACTGAGGTACAGAACCGTCATGAGCGACCACCGTTGTCTCTGTAATTAAATGCATTTTCATGTGTGTTCCCTCTGACATGAGACTCTACTCACCCAGATGAATTCGACCTACACAAAGATTGTTAGCAAGACGGGTTCCAGTGATAGTATTGACATACCTCTTGTCCAATTGTTAGTGCTGAAAAATACTTGTAAGATATCAGCAGTCCTTCAATGCTATATATCATACTCACCCCAATCATATGTTATTACAACTAGGGCGGCAACTGCAAAACCGTAGTCAAGTTCAGATTGAGACATCAGCTTCAACATCCGACTGCTCTCCACGAACCTGGAAGATAGCTGGCAAAACGATATGCATTGATGGCCGGCCACCACGCGGGATCATCTGAGACTATGGTCATATTGTTAGAGAATGGGTGTGGGTGAGAGGTGAACTTGGTCAACGTATAGCAATGACATTCGCGCTATATGTACGCCGTGCTTGCTGTAGTTTGCTAACCGAAATATCAATAAGATCAAGGTAAATATTTGTGCATAGATCAAGTTGGCGGTTCTTGTATTAGAGAATTGATGAACTTGTTCCCCGTCTGTGGCTAGGTTGGGCTGTGCTTAGAGGGTTATATAACTCTTCGCAAGCAGACGAGTACGAGATTCGGAGGTACAAAACATGTTAACATGGGACAATGCGAAGAAAGGAACGGTACAAGCTTGAGCTCAGTAGGTGTGGATGTGGACGCGACAATAGTAGATAGATTCCATTTTTGGCAGAAGCAGTGTTGGCACCACATGTGAACACATTTTGTAACATGAATATCACTGATTTCTGGCCATGCTGTGGCGATGAGATCTGGTCCCCTGCGCAGTGCAATCACATGGAGTTGGAAACAAAAATAGTTCATTGCGGCTAAGCTCCTGTAGGACAGACCTTAAAGAGGAAATGAGTTCCTCACGTCAGCTGTATAACTATCAGCGTCCAAAGCTCATCCCCATGTCATCACATATACGCCACCCTCAACCCAATGTTGATCCCCAGCGCAACCAACAACACAAAGCAAAGAATAGTGGATCCGTACTTGTCATAATAAAGCCCTCCCGCCGATCGGGCACGCAGACGAAGCGCTCGGTACACGAAGATGATCGCCGAATAGGCGATCGCGAGCAGCGCAGTCAGAGTGAATAGCGCAGCACTAATCAGGCCCCGCGGATCATCTGCAGGTACGAAGTTCAATAACGTCGTAGCGATAGTGCCGATCAGCACCGCAAAGCTCAACCATTTCTGCCACGATAAACATCAGCAGACGAACTCCTTCATCTAATGCAAAACAGTCGTACCAAGAACGTGCGCTCGTTTGCGAAATACACCTTGGGCTTGAGGATATCCGTGTCCACTGTGAATGACGTGAGGCAAGAGAATAAGATGGAAGCAGGCCCTTCCACTTACTTTGAAGCAGCCAGAACGGCACGAGATCTACGCGATTAGGCAGTAGGATAGCGCAGCCTTGGATGAATTTGCTAGCGGCAGTCCGTGAGTGACATGGAACTTGTGGGTGAGAATCATACCTGAACTTGGGAACAGCTTCGACAAGATGTGACTGAACCAGGTCCGTCACCCACTTGGGAGGCTCTTGTCCAAACTGAGTCTGAAGTTTGACTTCTAAAACCCCATACCTTGACGAACGTGAACATGATGGACGTGAGCATGTTACGAAATGGCTCAATAAGCGAAACCCACTTGAAAAGCTCTTTATCCGCCGCTAACACCTGGTCAAAGGGATGGTCGATCCCAATGTCGGTTCGCCGCCAGTTATCGCAAGTACGCGTCTGTCCGTCCCAGTTGTCTTCGCGGACCATCGTGAGTTCCGTATCAAGTGAGATCCGTACACGAGGATCTCCTGGGAGCTGGAACGCAGTTCGGTTGTAAAACGTCCTCATGACTAGTATATTTGTCAGTAAAGAAGTCAGACATCGAACGTGCGTACATACCCGGGTGGAGCTGCTTCGTAAGAATACGATACTGAACTTCGCTTGCAAGCTGAATCATGGAATCGACGTCGGCTTGTATCTTCTTGCCTTTCTCAACTAGAGCCTGGAGCTCCGCGTCCATGATATATTCTCCGCGCAGAAAAGCGTTCACGAGATTTTCTTTGATTGGGAAACGCGCCTTGACAGACTTTTCACCTGTCCAGTCTTCTCTGTGGGTCTTACGCTCCAAGAACATCTGAGGGATGACGTTCAGTGGGCTCCACAAATAAAGTCAAGCACACTGACGGTTTTCACGTCCGTGTCGCCGTACCACGGGAGACGGATAGCTTCGGCACCCTCTGTCTTCTCCAGTCGACCGAGGTAAAGTTCAAGATCTTCATTGTCGAAGTATATTGAAGTAATGGCTGCAAAAAGCGTCGACAATACATCCCCTGATGATTCAGAATCAAAAACGTACTAGCGTCCTTCTGTTCGAATTCCTTTTCGGCATTGAAGACGATAAGGAGAGATAAATCGGAAAAAGTACCAAAATGGTTAGTTAGGGTTAGGGCCAGCAACCCCTCACTTTATATTAGTACTGAGCGCCAGTGAGAACCGGCCCTCATCGTATCGACGGAAAACGGCCAAAATATTGATGAGCCACAGACCTAAGATTTCCGTAGATGAGCGTAGACTCGTACAGTCATAGTGGTGCCACGGTTCGGCTCGGGTCTGCTCAGGCTCGGCATTTACCGATGCGCCTGTAGTTTGGTAATTCTGGTGAGCCGAGTCGTTGATTCACTGTGTGAACTGGTTTGCAGCGTTGGCCAGCCACACAAACCAGCTAAAGCCAGGATTCCATGAACCACAGCTTGAGCTGCGCTGGTGCTGGTCCCTGTCACCTGCATGGGTGTGTTGGCGTAACCGTTTTATGTTTGGTATGCGATGCTCAGATGTTAGTACCCTGGATGTTCAGATTCCCCTGTTCGGCGGCACTCTGCATGGTGCCGAAGCATCGTCTGAGCTCTCTGAAACACGCTCGTACAGCTCAAAAAGCTTTGGCAGCTTAACAAAGCTACATCATCGACCGTTCTATCTGTTCCGACCATTCCAGGAATTTTACATCATGCCCCGCACTGGACTCTTCGGCCCACCTTCACCTGCCAGACGCGCCTCCTCCGCTTTTTGGACCGAAGCAATGTCGAAGTACGTGAGGAAGTCGAGGGCCTTGCCGCATGATCAGCAAAGCCCGCAATCTCCACTCCGCCTATCCAGCGGTCTGAAACTGTATCAGACATTCACAACTCATTCATGTACTACACCATGCCATCATTCAATTTCGACGTTCAACCTCCCATTCTCGACTCACGCCAACTGGCTTACACGCGTGCATTATTGTCCATGTCTGCGCTCATGAAGCCTGAAAAAGCATGATACCTATACATGCTACAAGACGGCTACACCATATTACGAAAGTCAATATCCCATGGTCCATGGTGCTTTCGATACGACGAGGGGTGGGCCACTAGTTGTTCTCGAAGATGAGAAGCAGGAGCAAACAGAAGCTTGCATCTAACGTTCCGGTAACATCGCCTATAACCATCTCTCGCTCCTCGACTTCCCCGTTCTGTACACCGCTTTCCTTCAGTGGTACAGTAGAGATATTTAGGACATCGGTCGAAACATTGTCAATGTCAAGACCTATAGCAAATGAATCGAATAAATACCGCGACGAAAATATCGCCGAAATCTATATCTCCTTGACATCTATTTTGTGACACTAGATAACTACTTGAGCACCGCAACGAGACTTGGAATAGAAACAAAAAAAAACAAATTTCCCGTGCTCCCTGCAAGCACTAGACAACCGTTCGCGTCAACTTCACCGAGCATTACACACTACTGCCAGTCGATATATGCACACGCCCTTGGAAAACGATTGAGGTCATGCCGGTTGCTGCGTCGGAGTCAGCCACGAGTTTGGCATGATATTCTCGAACGCCAAGGATCAGCCGTGGTCCTAACACGAACATCTGCACGACCTCCAAAATCTGAAACAAGCCATACAAAGTCTGATCTTCCAGGAGATATTGGCTCTGTAGAAATGATAGATCGTGGTCACATGTAGAGGTAAGTGAAAGATTGACATACCGTTGATAATGTTGGAGAGAATTCAATAATGAACTCTAAGCAAGAGACAGCAACAAAGCTATCATGTCCGACCCTTCAGTGGAAAAAAGGACAATAATAACGATATGAACTTACCTCGCAAAGTAAACCACGTGAGTTTTCATCAACACCGTAAAACAGTCGCCGATAATCCCTCCTGCCGCATGTAATCGCAGTTCACGGAAGTGTTTTACCGCAATCCAGACTGCGAGACATAGTGTGAGGACCTCCCACACAATGGAGAGTATCCAAGTAGCAGAATATAGAACTAGGGTATCTCCTGTATAGTCAGTCGTGCACTGGTAGGTGCCGGAAAGAATGAGTTCCTCTGGTGTCCATCAAACGAGCCCTATGCACGTTCGTTTTCATCCATAATTAAGCGTACCTCCTGAAGTATGCATCGTTGACATTAAGGCTGTCACACCATCAAAAGCGTTGATCGCCAGGAAGGTGACAACAAGAAATATCAGGATCTCTCTGGATTGTTGATACATAGCATGCAACCGAGTGATGATGATGACTTCCGGCATGTTTCAGTCAAGTGAATATTTCTGAGGTCTCACAAGCGCCAAGCTCACCCCACAGCATTGCATATACCAACACATCCATCCAATTCTGTACGATGTATATAATGAAGCCTGACAAACCCAGTCAGTGACCAGCCTCGGATAACACACACTCCAAAGACTTACATCTGTGGCAGTATAGTGTGGTAGTTATTAGCGAACCAAGAAGTTGGTAGTAAAGAACCAAACCCACTGCTACAGGGCACCACGGTTAATTGAAGGGGAATAGCAGGCATCTGTGCAGAAGACTCACTGTATCTGTCAGCCAGATGGTCGGAACATTAACTGCATGCCGCTGGTTAGAAGAAGCGAAGAAAGTGAATATACTAAGGCGACATACGCAGGATAGACATGCTGATTACGAGACATAGATGATTAGCACAACATCGATTGTTTAGCATTCCGAACCTACGCAGCATATAAGATTCCAAGATAGCGCGCCTAGAATACTTTCAAGTTAGCACATCACGATAGCGGCGACACACAAGCTACATACACTGAGATACAGAACTGTCATTAGGGACCAGTGTTGCCTCTGTGAATAAGTGTATCTTCATGTGAGTTCCCTCCGCCATGAGACTCTACTCACCCAGATCAATTCGACCTATAAAGGGATTCTTAGCGAAATGGCTGCTCCGGTCATGGCATCGACATACCTCTTGCCCAAATGTGAGTGCTGAAAATAATTGTAAGATATCAGCAATCCTTTAATATTATCGTGCTCACACCAATCATACGTCACCCCAACAAAGGCGGCAACTGCGATACCGGAGCCAAGGTTAGATTGAGACATCGGAGTCAGCGCTCAGCGTCAACATCCGATTGCTCCCTACGAACCTGGAAAATAGCTGGCAAAACGATATGCATTGATGGCGGGCCACCAAGTAGGATCATTTGAGATTGTTGACATATTGGTAGAGAATGGGAGGTGAACTTGGTAAACGTATAGCGATGACATTCGCGCGATATGTACGCCTTGCTCGCTATAGTTTGGTAACCGAAATATCAACAAGATCAAGGTAAATATTTGTGCATAGATCAAGTTGACAGTTCTTGTATTAGAAAATTGATGAACTTGTTCCCTGGAAGCCCCGTCTGTGGCTAGGTTGGGCTGTGCTCAGAGGGTTACATAACTCTTCGCAAGCAGACGAGTACGAGATTCGGAGGTACAACAACTTGTTAGCATGGGACAACGCGAAGAAAGGAACGGTACAAGCTTGAGCTCAATAGGTGTGGACGTGGACGCGATGAGACTATGGCCATATTGTTAGAGAATGGGTGCGGGTGAGAGGTGAACTTGGTAAACGCATAGCGATGACATTCGCGCTATATGTACGGGGCCGTGCTCGCTATAGTTTGGTAACCGAAATATCAATAAGATCAAGGTAAATATTTGTGCACTCCACATAGATCAAGTTGCAGTTACGGACCCGGTTCTTATGCAGAAAATTGATGAACTTTGTTTCCCTGGAAGCTCTGTGGCTAGGTTGGGCTGTGGCTAGAGCATTACATAACTCTTCGCAAGCAGACGAGTATGAGATTCGGAGGTACAATAACTTGTAAACGTGGGACCACACGAAGAAAGGAATGGTACAAGCCAATTGGTTGTTTTGAGGTGTTGACGTGGACGCGACGAGATTCCATTTTATGTAAGCAGTGTTGGCACCAAATGTGAACACATTTGTAACACGAATATCACTGATTTCTAGGAACAAAAGGCCTATTATGATCTATATATAACACGCAGGGTCTAGATACTGGGACCTGCCTGAATATCAAGCAAAGATAACCCCAACCTGCCCGTGGCCCACTTCACAATGCTTTCGTTTCACTCGCTTATCAACCCAGTCACAACAAAATCGACAATTCGATAAGCAAAGTTCGTATGTATTTCGCTTCTTCTCCTCGATGATAATGCATACAATTTCATAGTACAATCATACATCGAGCCAGATCAAACACCAAGGCTGGAATAATATACAGCGAGGCCAAGCCCAGCAGTTGCCCGGTAGATCAACGTTCGATCAACACTTGCACTCTCCGGCCTTGCATTGGCACCTGTACACCAAGTCGTGAATCAGAGCGAGACTAGTATTACACAGAGTGGGACTTACGAGTCGCCGCAATTGCAGCTGGACGAGCCACAGCTGTTGTTGGAAACAGGGACTTCAGTGACCTGCAAACCAAGATAAGATAACAAAATGCGACACAAGAAGACATGCACTTACGGTGAACATGATTGTGGTGGATGGGTTTCAAGGTAGCTTAGGGTTTGGGAGTTTGTCAGTGCGCTCTTATATAGATTCCTTGTGTATTGTCTTGTTGAGCCCAAATCAAGTGATCATCCCGCTCACTTGGCTTCCCTCTTTTTCGGTTCTACCATCCATTAAATCGCGCAAGTACCTTATTGGTCCAGCCGCCATCGTCATGTACCTCCATCAAAAGCCTCATGACTGCGCAGTGCAATCACATGGAATTGGAAACAAAAATAGTTCATGGCGGCTAAGCTCCTGTACCGCAGACCTTATAGAGGAAATGAGTTCCTCACGTCAGCTGTATATTTATCAGCGTCCAAGGCTCATCCCCATGTCATCGTATATCCGCCACCCTCAAGCAAATGTTGGTCCCCAGCGCAGCCAACAGCACAAAGCATCCCTGTGACGGCCAACCGCACCACTATACCTGGCACACGAGCAGGTGCACTCGAAGCCTTGCACCAGAACACCTGGGTGCACCTTGCTTGGCATGGCAAGCAGGACCCTCATGAGAGACAAACATCTGACGCTGCTCGATATCATGGGGAAACATCTTCCGCAGGCCGAGTTCGCGTTCTTAACGGCTTGTCATACTGCGTAGGCGATACCGTTCTATCTCTTCCGACCATCCAAGAATTTTCCATCCTGCCCCGCACTGGACTCTTCGGCCCACCTTCACCTGCCAGACGCGCCTCCTCCGCTTTTTGGACCGAAGCA